CCCATGGCAGGGGGGTGGAACTAGATGATCTTCAAGGTCCCTTCCAATCTAAACCATTCCATGATTCTAATGTTTATCTGCTCTTTAAAAGAGCTTAATGAATCACTAGACATTGTTGCTAGAGGTAAATGTATTGAGCCAGCTTGCGTGCTGTGTTCCGTGCTCTCCTTGGAGCTCTTCAGTGAGCTGCTGTTGTTATCTCTGTGCAGATGCTCGGGACTCCATTGCAAAGGTGGCGTATGGCCGAGTATTTCGCTGGATCGTTTGCAAGATCAATGAGCTGCTGGCTGAGAAAGTGGATCCTGAGGTGGAATTGAGCGAGATAGGTGAGTTCTGCCTGCCTTACTCCTCTTCTGTCCTAAAATGTGTGTCCCTCAGCCACAATGAAGGAAAGGTACAATATGAGGTTTCGCAGAGATTGTGTGCAGGGATTTATCGTCAAAGACATGATCATGTTGGAGATACTAGTTGGCAGCATGAAGATTGTAGAGCCTTGACCAACTCAGAGCAGTTTGTTGGTCTGAAGCAACTGTGGGGCTGTAGTTCTGGGGCACTCTGGCTTTCCAGAGGAGCCAGGGGTGGAAGTAGGGCTCCTCCTACCTAGCTTTCCAAGGGGAGTTATGGGAGGGGTGCCACTGGTGACTTGGCTGGTGTTTCACTGTTGGGGTACACAGCTATCTGTGGACATGGTCTGCAGGATGCATGTTGTGGTCATTTTCCCTTTTTTAGGTATCTTGGATATTTTTGGGTTTGAAAACTTTGCAGTGAATCGTTTCGAACAGCTTTGCATAAACTTGGCCAATGAGCAGCTCCAGCACTTCTTCAACCATGTAAGTCTGCTGTGAGTGATCTCACCTTGTGAGGCAGAGAAAGCAGAGCACTGATCTACCTGGCATATGAGGGAGAGCTTGGGGAAAAAATAGGTCTATTTCCTCGAAGGACAGAAACGGTGATTAGTGAGGCAGGGTAGAGAACAGCAACCTTCTTTGCTGTGGCAGGGGAGCCACTGGTACAGGGAAGGAAGGAATAGAAGGAAGGAGTGGAAGGATCAAACAATGACCAAAGTTGGCAGAGAATGGACACTTACACTCTGAGAAGTGTTCCTGCTTTATGCACCAGGATCAGCAAGTGACAGGCTTACAGGTGGGCATACAGAAGAGCAGTTTCATCTTGCACCTCTGATGCCATGGGTGAGAGAGCCATGCCTCTGCTGTCTGTTCAGGGTGGGAAGGAAGATGTTCAGGGGTGCTCCAACCTCTTTTTTTTCTCTGTTTCAGCACATTTTCCAGCTGGAGCAGGCTGCCTATAAGGAAGAAGAGCTGCCTTGGGAGACTATCACGTTCAACAATAATGAACCTATTCTGGTGAGTGACAGGACCGACAGAAGAGAATTGCTCCATCCAGCCCAGAGAGGAGTCTTGCTCTTGTTATCATGGGGCGGAAATGTACCTGGGAAGAACCTCTTCAAAGGGTGATGTGGGTGAGAGTGGATGCCCTGTACTGCTTTAAATATGTGTAGATATGTAGTAGGTATGTCTCCTTTCCCTGCAGAAACTGCTCCTGGCCAAGCCACTTGGGCTCCTCTCTCTTCTGGATGAGCAGAGTGCATTCCCTCAGGTACGCATGAGATTGATAGGGGTCAGAGAAAATAGTGTGGGGGAACGCAGCAATAAATATTTGGGCTGCAGAAAGAGTTCTTATGTTGGAATGTGACTTTAAAGAGCAGGATGAGTAGCAGTGTTCCCATGTGTGACTGATGAGACAGGACAGCCAGATCAAGAACAGTGTAATGATATTGGTGTCCCTGTGGAGACTAGAGTGTACAGTATGAAGCTGTTGCATAGCCAAGGCCACTCCAGCACTTCGTTTTGCTTCCATGTGCCCATTTGATTATGAAATCTCTTTTCTTGCAGGCAACTGATAAGACGTTTGTGGATAAACTAAACAGCAGCTTCAAGGGGAATTTACACTTCCAGCCAGGCCGAGGCCATGTTTTGGGCTTCAGCATCCTTCACTATGCTGGGAAAGTATGTACTGTTTGCAGGAAGAATGCTGTTGTAACATATGTAGGAGGGGGGAAATGTGTTGCTTGACAAATAAGGCTTTGATGTTAAGGAGCGTATGGTCCAACAATGATATAACCGAAGTGATGTGTTCCCAGGGAGTTGCCTCCTAGGATTCCCTGGGATTTCTATGGAAGGTATAGAAAGAGACGACCCCTGAGAAAAGTGGGGGCTACCTCTGGGAAGCAAAGGGAATCTGCTGTACTCATCATCATTCTGTTGGAACTCTAGTCTTAAAATAGCCCTTTATAAAATAAAAGCCTTGCATACACTGTGCAGCATCAAAGGACAGTCTAATGGCTTTACCTTTACCTATTGGGTTCCAGAGCACAGCAGTCACTATTTGATTGCAAGCACTGAGGAACACAGTGAGAGCAGCCAGGTGTTTTGAAAGTGGAGGCAATTATTTATATATTCAAATGGTATCTAAGCACCTTGGGGTTTGGGACTATGTATGTAACCTTACTGCCACCAATTTTGGAAGTATTGGCCCAAATACATTGAATTGATCGGAGATAATTTTTGGAGCAGGAACAGACATGACAGTTCAGGTTATTTTAATATGCAATTTAGTAATCCTGTCCCACCATTGTTGACTAAGTTATTACATATGACATTCTTTCTTACAAAAAATAGCATTTAACATAGAAAGGAGAGCACCAGGCTAGAGATAAGAAAGGAAGGGAGCAAGAGAAATAAGTGGATGCATAACAACAGGATGGAAGCCTATTCAAAGGGAAGAGGGGGAGAGCAAGGAAAAGAGTGAAGCATAGAACAAAAGTAAATGAAACTTCGTAATCAAGGAAAGAAGAACAAGAAAAGGCAGATGTCTCAGTGTTGTGCTGCACTCCTATGGTTCCAATGCCTCAGCGCCATCCACAAGGCTTTGTTCCTCAGGATTATCATCTGAAGGGAGTGCACATGCATTTACAGAATGCACGTGCAAGCCAGTGTACATTCAGTTTAACAGTGGCTCCTGGCAAGCTGTGGAGGTGCTTTCACAGCAAGCCTGTGAGCACTGCTGGCCTGAGTGACTTGCTGCCCTTTCCCCTAGGTACAATATAGTGCAGGAGGTTTTCTGGAGAAGAACAGAGACACCTTGCCAGCCACCGTCCGTGGGCTCTTCATCAACAGCGTCACCCCCTTGCTCAGTGTGCTGTTCACAGGCAAGTCCCTCTGCTATGGTAGGGCATCCCACATGAATCAAGGCCCACCTCGCAAGAGTTAAGTGTGGGGATGAGGCTCCTGTGCTATGAATGTGTTTCACAGCTGGCAACCCCAGGGAGATTCTGGGAAGGCTGCAGCCTGGAGTGGGGCTGCTGGTGTATACCGAGCTGTCAGAGCTGTTCGTTCCTTGCTGGAAAGCAAAGCAGGTTGTATCCTCTTCCAGAGAATTATCCACTGCTCGGATGTTTTCCCCTAGATCAGGTAGCCCATCTTCTCCAGGGCCAGTGCAGGACTGTCTCCACTGGCCCTTTCCATATGCGCTGTTCTTGTATATCAATGAAGCTGGACAAGGTCATAGCTTCTAGCTGTTCACACTGAAAATAGAGTGCTGGAAAGCCACAAGCAATGAGACATTATCCTTTTCAAACACATTTTGTTTTTCAGGTACAACTTGTTAAATAACTCTGAAGTCATGCATTATTTCTCTCCCACCACTACACTTCCTTTTTCCAGTTATTGATAAGCCCTCAGAGTCTCCAAGGCTTCTATGAAAGTAAACATTTAAAGAAAAGCCAGGTGGATGCTTCCTTGGAATTTGTCTGGCTTAACACAGTGCTTCTGGTGCAGAAATTTTCTTTGTTTTGTTTTGGTTTTTTTCCTGTTCAGTCCATATCATTTTCTGGGATTTACAAGTAACTGATGAAATTTGTTTCTATTTTCCACTGTGGTTTTCAGCACTTCTGCTCAGGAGGATCTTTCTTCATTACCACTCCCACACTGTTACTGAAGATACTTAGTCTAGTCCCAGCTCTTTGAAAGCTCATAAGCAACAGAGATAACCTGTTCTCAGATTGGGTTTTTGCCCAGATCCAGTCCTGCACAGCTGGCTCTAGGTGGCCTTGCTGAGCAAAGGGGTTGACCCAGATGACCTCCAGACATCCCTTCCAACCTCCACCATTCTGTGGTTCTGTGATTCATATAAGCCTGTTGCATCAAGGGTGTGCAAGACTGTCATTAAATCCTGAATTAGTTTTTAGCTCAATGACTTTATGTAACATCCCATCTTGACTGCTGTAGGTGAGCTTCCCATTTGCTATCTGTACTTTTCTGTGTTGTTAGATGCCCATTGACAATATTTTCTTTTGAAGGTCATTTAGAGTTGTTCGATAATCTTATTGCCTTGTCTTCTCAGTGGCGGAGAACAATATTGCCTGCATTGTACGCTTCATATATTTGCATTTTCTTCTCTCTTTCTTTAGCTCTTTCCTTGTATTTCCCCGTGGTGAAACCTAATGCCCTGTCTGTGATTCAGTATTTTTAGGGAGACCTGTGTGTGAAGTGAGGTTTGAATGTTTAGACATGGTTGGTTGTGAACAAAGGTACAAAATTAACTATTATCTCTGTTCTTCCAGCCACTATCTCCAGAACAGGGACACTGATGCCTCATGTGAAAGCCAAGGTATTGCACTTCACATCCACATGGCAACTGAGAAATGATGGCATAATTACCTGATATCTGTTATTGAGAAATTGCCTGAAAATCAGAGCAGACAGGAACTGGTTGAAAATAAGAGCAGACAGCAATATGCTGGCAACAATTTCTCCGGTTTTTCACAGGGTTTTCTGCTTGCTTCTGCTGATATGTTTAACTTCTCTTCTCTCCCCTGAAATCTATTCTCTCTCCTTTTTGCCATCTGCCTTCCATTAGAACTCTTTGAATGGCAATCGAGCACTCCTTCCAGGGGTGATCCTTTTGTTTGGGTCTGGTTTCAGGTCATACCAGGAGCAGACGACAAGTTCAACAGCACACGAAAACAGTCTGCTGCAGCTCAGTTCCGGGTAAAGTATTGCTGCTCTGCAGTGCCCCTTGAGATGAGTGATGTTCTTGTGAGAGCTTCCAGGCTGCTAAGCATAGTTATAACATCCAGCATGTAGACAGCGTTTTTCCTGAGTGCCAAGCAGAGCTGATCATGGTGGGAGTGATCCAGATGTTGTCAGAGTCTGGGAAGTTGCTGTGGGATGGGAAAACAGTTCTCACTGCAGGATATTGCACGTTGGTCTCTGGCAGTGCTTTGGACTGTTGATCTTTCTCTGCCCTGGCCAGCATTCCCTGATGATGCTCATGGAGAGGATGTATTCTGCAAACCCCCACTTTGTGCGCTGTATAAAGCCCAACAGCCAGAAGGAGCCAGGTGTGGTGGACAGCCAGGTGGTGCTGCTACAGGTGAGGAAAAGCCATGTCCTTTACAGGTACTTCTGCCACATCTCAGTGGGGAGGGACATCACTGAAAGGCTGTGGAGATAGCTGGAAGCTGACTGGTCTGAGTCTCCCCTTCCAAGAGAAAGAGTAGGCACAGTTTTTATGCATGTAGGTTCTGGGTACTTGGTTGTTTTTGGGACACAGACTGCTAGGTACAGGTTTTGCAATCTTAGTTCTCTCCAGTTTCTTTTTCATGAATGCAATGAGATCTGCATGTCAGGCACTAGGATTCCCCTTGGCATCTCCTGGATGGGGGCTGGTACAGACAGTCCTTCTTCATGAAAACTGGTGATTCCTGAAGGAGACTGTTCTCAACTATCAGCCAGGGCAGCTCTGAATAGCAGCCAAGATGGGATCGCTTTGATAGGAGCTGATATGACTGTCTTTGGATATTGTGTCAGGTCTCAAATCCAGACACTTCAAAGAATACTGAAAATTATTAGAAAAGTTCAGAAAGCTCTGTGGCCTGTTTAATGTATATAAGAAAGAATAGGATTAAGAGGGAAGTTCATCCGTGCTTCAGAGTACCTCTGTGTCCAGATTTGGAAGTAAAAGGCTGTTCTGTAAGGGGAAGAGGCAAAACAGTACCCATGGCTGGAAGATGAGGTTATTTCAGTCATTGGTTTTTACGGTTTCCAACTTTTAACTGAGAATGGTTAATCATCAAAGTTACAGGATGTCATAAATTCAGTCCTTAACCAAGGAGACATTTTCTGAAAGAAACTTACTGATTTTGAACAAAAGAAGTGTAGGATTGAATGAAGGAAATTGTGGCTGCAGAGGAACAAACTGGTGTCCTAATGACCTGTTTCTGTTTGTTTCTCTATGTGATGCTGCTTCAGCTCCGGTACAATGGACTACTGGAGACAATCCGTATCAGAAGAGATGGTTTCTCTTGGAGACCCTCATTTGAGGAATTTGCTGAAAGGTTTGTTAAAACCTCTGAATATTCCTTGTTAGATATTGTTAGGGAAGTGACCCTAGTAAACAGATATGGGCAGGGAGTTAAACTGTGTCTTTAAAGTTCAAGTGCCTGAGATCATGGGGTTTGCTGTGGGAGGCCGAGCGGAAAAGAGTGATTTATTGTTGTTTGCTGTGAGGGTGACAGATCACCTTAGTACATCAAGGATGGGGCTCTTACCTTGCTGAATTGGTTTGTTTTTCACAGATACGGAATTATTCTAGTTAAACCAGATGTTTCCCTCACAAAAGAAAGGTAGGAACATTTCCTTTGTTATGTACAATCCAGTTTGTTCTTCAGAGACTTTTGCTCTCAAGGTAGTATAGCAAACTGAGTAAAAGGAACAAAGTTAGGATGGGGTTTTGTGGTAATGGGAAACACAAATTCCTAGGCAAAGGCAGTGTTTAAAAACCATTTGGTACAATGATGAATGAAATATTTCCAGAATTGCTAAGTAGCAATTCAATTCAATTGCTGTAAAGCCATGGTATCCTGTGGAATAATTGGCTAATGTACTCAAATTAGGAAGTCACGATAATGATCAAGGGTATCCACTGAACTCAGTATGGCGGGGGCTCAGCCAGGTGCCTCTCCAGGCCTTTTCCTGATGGTCTCATGGGAGAAGAAGATAAAGACAATTCTGAGCAAGCAGCCAGCTCTCAATGTCTCCCAGGCTAGATAGGATGCTTCTGGTCCAAGATTTTTTTATGTGTACAGGCACAATATATGCTCAGCACTCTCAGAACCTGACTGTTCCTTACACATGTAACCATCACTCTGGCTCTGCAGTGTTACGGTGTCAGCTTTTTCCTTCCTACATCTAGGGCAGCAACTCCCCACCTCCTCTTCTCTACTTTCCCAGTCCCTCCTTCCTGCCATGGTCAATTGTGACTGATAGTGAGAAGGAAGTATGTCAGGCAGCCAGCTGAGGGGTTTTTTAGTCTTTTAAGAAGAGGATTTGAATGTTCTCTAGAAAAGTTCTTTCCTGGCAGTAGCTCCTCCAGCCTTCACAGTGCTTCCTTGAAGTTACTAGCAATTCTAAATTAATTTCAAATCCAAGTGAGGTCAAGAGAGAATCTCATAGATGAGCGAGAGAGATGATGGTAAACAGGCAGCATGGTGTGTTTTCAGACACAAAAATCGTAGAATGGATTTGAGAAAAGAATTACCATGGATATAGATTGTGACACAGTGGAAGTTGGCTAAGATAGAAGGGAAACCACTTCTACTTTGCTATGCAAGGTATTAGCAAAAAGTGCCACTATGATTTCACAGCCTGGATTTGCAGACAGAGGGAGGAAGCTGTGTGTGGTACAGCTAGAGTACTGCTTTCAGTTCCAAGTGTTGGGGAATCTTTCCGAGTGACCCAAATTTTATCACTACAGTCTGCAAAATGAAACTGGAGTTGGAAAACAGGCTTTCTCCCAGAAGTCTTGCTGTGCCGACCTTCCAACTTGTGTGCTCCAAAGAGCTTGGAAACAAAACGAGGCAAAACAGTTCTGAGAATAAAATAAGCTCTGCAGAATCAACTCCCAGGGAGTTGAAGGAAATCTGCCTCTGGGAACCCCTTTGCTGATGTTTCTGAATGTGATCCTGGCTGTACCTCAAGGAGCACTACAGATTGACAGCCAGTTACTGAATGTGATCAGGTTACAGGGGACAGAGAATGTAATGCAGAATCATTGATGCACTTTCTCCCCCTTTAGGCACCTAAAACCACTGGCTGCGTGGTGTTCACTTTGGATGGAAAATTATTTATTTCACTTTTTTCCTCTCTTTCAGCTGCTTGGAGATACTGCAAAGTACAGAGCTGACAGGCTGGATATGTGGGTAGGTGTGAATCGCAGCTGCTGGGAATGAGGGGCCTGAACTGCAGAGACTTTATACACATAGTGTTGTCTGGTTCCCTTCAGGGAGAACTTTATAGGAAAGACAACTATAGAAAAGGCCTCTCCGAGGCGGATGCAAGTTTAGACAAACAGTGTTTCTCACGGCTTCTTTCTCTCCCCAACTTCACAGAAAGTCACGACTTTTCTTTAAATATTGGCACCGGGAACAGCTGGCAAAGTATGTGGAGCGACTGGAAAGAGCAGCAGTTGTCATACAGAAAGGTGAGCACTGGAGCAGGAGAGTCCTCAACTCTGATCTCAGACCAGGGCAAGGAAAAACTTTTCTCCAGTCCCTGCTCCACCATAGCACCTTTGCAAATGACAGAAAGGCAGGCCAGGCACCACCTCTCTGTCAAGGCCCTGTGGAGTCAGAGTGCTTATTGCAGATGCCCACCTCCTCCATGCTCATCCTCATCAGACAGTGTGAGCCTTAGAAAGGGAAAGCATGTGTGCAGGAGCTGAGCAGGGCAAGCGTGTGATTTGGCTGTGTCCCAAGATGTAGGTAACCATCATAGGAGTGAGGGCTTCTTTGTGTGTGGTGTTGAACTGAGGATAGGGGAAAGAAGATGAGTGGAGCAGATCTCATTCCTAATTTCAGAGACAGGCAGAAGGGGATGAAATTTTGTTTTGTTGTGTTTTATTCCTTTCCAGGTGCCATCTGCTCTGGCAGACTGTTTCTCCAGAGCAGGCACTGTGGGCAGTTTGGTACTTCCCTCTCCGTAGGCTCCATGAGGACTGTGCAACCAGGAGTAGGAGGCTGTCACCCTGCCTTGTCCCTCTCTGTTGCACTTCTCTTCTGGATGGGTTGTTGCACAGCTGAAGCATCTGAGCAGCTTCCAGCTATGCACCATACAGTATGACAAACATCAGACTGTCACATGCTGTGCCTTGTTCTCATCTGTGGGGAAGATGTGTAGGCAATGGAAAATGAGAGAGTGTGGCTTTCAGTTCATGTGCTTTGGTACCTGGTAGAGTAAGCAGGATAATGTGGTGTCTCTAAAGCTCCTGATGAACCCCTGAGAATGCTACTTATGGGAAAGGTTATCCTGTGGGCTGACATCAATGAAATCCCGTCTCCTGCACAGAAGAGCTTTGTTTTTACTGAGTAGTGTCTGAAGGGTACCGGGGAGATATATGGTTAACAGATGACCTTCTGTGAGACTTTGTTTTCTAAGTATCCTATGCCTTGGCATTAGAGATGAAAGCTTAGATCTGTAATTTGATTTTTTTAAATCCGTGATCTGACAGCTTAGAGAGTACAACACAGTTCTCACATGGTTTTGACTGCCTGCTCAACTAAAGTCTGTCTTGCTCTTTATTAACATAACTGAAGTGTTGAGAGCTTTGAACTGGTTGAAGGATTATTACTCAGTGTGCTTTCGCCGGGGAGTGACAAAGTCACGATGAACATGTATTTTTCTAACCACAGCTTTTCTCTGAACAGTTTTCAGGGGATTCAAATGCAGGAAGAATTACCTAAAACTGGTGGCTGAAGTGAGAGCTGAGGCACAGCGGCTACAGGAGGAGGCAGAGAGAGAAAGAAGCCGGCAGCTGGCGGGGGAAGCAGAGGCCCAGAGTGAGTTGCTCCCAATCCCAGTGCCCCTGTGCGTGGCCACTTGTGCACTGATCACCTCAAAGTGCTGTAAGCTCCAGGTGATGATGACCTGCCCTCAGCTCTCCTGGGACTGGGGGCTCCACCGATGTGGTGGCCAGGGAGATGCCGATATTTCTGCCATTTGAAAGAGCAGCTTTCTCTGTGGGGAGCAGAAGCAGCATGGTGCAAGTCATTTGCCTGGCTGTGTTGGAAGGAGCACCAAGCAGTGTCTTTCCCACACACTCCATGCAGCAGAGGCTGTCCCTATCTCCTGGGCATGTGGAGAATGGATCTCATGGATCTTGGATGCTAGATTTCAGCTACTTCTTTCCTCTTGTTGCAGAAAGAATCTCCCTTCCAGTCCCCATGCCACGAAAGAGGCGCCCTCAGCCTTGTCTCCATCCTCCTGATAAGTCATCACAGCCACCAGTGCCACGGCCACGCAGCAAACTAACAGAGGTAGCAATGTTGGCTCTGCTTGGGGCCTCTTAGCCAGGTGTGCTGGTTCCCTGTGTCTTCCAGCTTCTGCATGCACATGTTCTCCTGCATGTGGTCCCAGGAGGACATTGTCATTCTTTTTATGAGAAGTGAGAGAATCCTTTCCTACTGTGTTTATTTAAAAAGCATGGTCAGGACCTCTGAGGAACTGAAAGCAGTGTTGGTAGTTTACAACTAGTCTTGTCTTAAGGGACTCAGGAATGGGATCACTACCAAAGGGATCCCTTCAAAGGTCTCCTGCCTTTGGCTTTCCTTTCACGCCCACTTTCCCCTCTCCTCACTTTCAGTTCACTCCTTTTGATAACTTCTTGGACCCTTCTGCACCTCGCCCTGTTCTGGGGGCAGAGGAACAGACGGGAGAAGAGGTAAAAATGAGGAAATGCAAGAGAGGAGCAACTCTCCGCTGGTTCAAAGAGACACAGGCTGAGAAGGTCATGCAGGATGATGGGGCCTTTCCAAGCTGGCTGCATGGGATGATCAGCCGGAGGTGAGTATGCTGGACACAGTGGCCACAACTTGGTCTGTGGCAAGCAGACAGAAGCTGCTGTACCCGCATAGGTTGGATTTGCCAAGATTTGTCTCCTTAAGGAATGGGAGTGATCTACACAACCTTTCAATTCTAGGCTGTGAGCTTCAAACCATTAGGGGGAAGCTTGGAACTCCCTGTCACAGGATGCAAATGCTGAAACTTTACGTGGGTCCAAGGAAAGACTGTGGAAACTCATAGGAAATAAGTCCACTGTGGGTTCCTAAATATAGTTCCTGTGCAGGGAAGGGAGGCTGGGGAAGTACTTGGAGAAGAAATGCACGCATGCTTTTACCCTGTTGCAGAGATGTGGTATAGAATGAAAATGGATTTTGTCTGAGTCATTATGACTGTTCTCATATCTGTCAGTTTAATTCGGGAGAAGACCTCAGTTTACAGCAGAAGAATACAGAATTCAGCGTACATTTATGTAAAAAACTATTAAGAGAGGCTTTACTGAGTACCCAATAGAAAGATTTCCCAAAGCCCCCTGATACAGGAAAAGGAAGGCTTTTTGTTGATACCTCTGCCCATCTAAGGATAGTGCAGCATAGGTGGAACTTACATCTGTTTAGGCTGGGAGAGACATCCACAAAGCCCTACCTTCTTATGGAGTGGTTTACGAGACTGAACTCTCAAGTTTTTTTGGGGAAACCTTTATTTAAATGCTTGAAATTTTGCCACTGGATATGCCTCACACTTCACTCTCTTGGCTGAGCCAAGCACTGCTTTCCAAGCAGAGTCATAATCAGATAAATGTTGGTTATGCCAATTATCAGATAGGAGCAAAACAGTGGGCTTAGCAGGTAGACGACAGAATTTCTGGCTATAGTCTCCCCTGTGTGAAAATTAATATATGGTGCTGCATACTTGCTAACTGCCAGTGTTCCTTATTTGATGGGACTTGTGTGTGGGCATTGCTGCCAAGTGTGTCTGCTATTTGAACACCGTTATCATCTTGTTCCAGTTTTTATCTTTTTTCTGTTAAAGTTGCATGTCTCCTTCAGTCTTATTAAATCGCAAGTTGCTGGCTTTTGTCAGCTTATCAGTGTGAACATTACTCATAGACATTACACAGCACGTTTTCTTAGTAAAAGACACTACAGTAGCTGACAGCCCCCTGGTAACTGTTTTGGTTTTTTTTTTCCTTTTTTTAAGATAATTAATAAGGTCCCCACCTGCTTTTGTCTACAGATCCAAGAATGCAGGACAGGAACTAGTGTCTGAAAGATAAAACTAACTGAATTCTAATACAGGCTAGCCATGAGCACTTCACAACGAAGGACATAGCAGATCCTTCCCAAAGACACTGAAGATTAGATACTTCTTTAAGTGGTGCTTCCTGTTGCTGGATTTAAGTCTTCATACAGCAGTGTAAGCTCAGCCTCATGTAGCAGAGCAGCTAGAGCAATCCCAAATTGCACTGGTGATTTGCTGTCACCTTTAGCCTGGAGCAAGGCACATGACAAGCACAAAGCGCTGCTTTGTCTGTTGGGCAGAGAGGGGGAAGACCTCCATCCAGCAGGAAGTTTAGAGAAGCACAGTGCTGTAATCCAAGTTGGTGTTTTTCCAAGGCACTGGACTTACCTTGTGCTGAGCACCAGTACCCCGCAGCATCCTGCCTTCTTCCGCCAGCCCTGGAGCATAGGAAGTGCATATGTGCACAACCTCCTCATCTCAGCGATGCTTTGTACTGTGCTCTGTGCTGGAAGGCAGCTGTTGCTGCTGCACTAGTCAGACCACTGGAGCAGGTTTGGAGCAGCCTTGCTTGGAGAGGCTTTGGCTGAGAGTATTGTGCCTTCTCAGCCTGCTAATGCTTCCCTGCACCAGCAAGCCTGAGTCTGGAAATCTCTAGCTAGGAATACATGGGGCAGATGCTGGCCTTCCTGTGGACTGGGAGCACTATCGTGGCAGTGAGGTAGGATGGGAATCCTTGCAGCTGCTCACAGTCTGCTGAAAGATTCTTTTCTGCTTCCAGGGAAGCTGAAAACTTACTGATTGACAAGCCTTTGGGCTGCTTCCTTGTTCGGATCAGCCAGAGCCGACCGGGCTACACCTTGACATACAGGTAATGAGCCTTGCAGAGAAGGAAAAAGAAGGTCCTAAACTGAGGTTTGCATGGCTGGAGGAGTTAACCCCCTCTACAGAGGAGTCCATTGTGGATGATGCTCAGCCTCTCCTGTTGTGGGTCCTTCAGACAGTTTGGAGTAGCAGACAAGATGCTGCAGTCTGTCTCTTGCCAAAAACTAGATCTCTTTGTGGGTGGGGTGCTGCGGCTCCAAGGGTGCAGGTCCTGCTTAGGCTGTGCTATGTGGCTGAATGGGCAAACCAGGTTGGAGGAAGCAGTGGCTTTAGCAGAGGAGATGAGTCTAGAGGAGGGCCTGAGGAGATGCAATCAGAGTGCTGCAAGGGCATGGTCTTTGTACAGCCTCAGGCAAGGAGTAGGGCAGAGTTCTCACGTGGACAACAACATGGGAGGTAGGAGGGTCTGCTGGGGTTTGGACTTGGCTGCTGGGTTTCTTCTGTCACTGATTTGGGGGGAATTGGTGCTCCTCCAGCACCTGCTAGCACAGCATGTGACACTTCAGCGTGGTGCATCTCCTGCATCTTTGTGATATTTGTTACTGTGGCTCCTGATCACATCTGGGCTCTTGAGACAAGTGCAGAAAGTAATGACTAGGTCCTGGAGAGACATTGAGGCCCCGTTCCATGACTATTTCTGTCTGTCTGTCTCCCCAGGGGCGAAGGCCGCTGCAGACACTACATGATCCAGGTGCAGCCCAATGCACGCTATGTCATCCTGGGGGAAGACCGGGCTCACGCCTCGCTTACCCAACTGGTTCGGTATCACCAGACTGTGGGCATACAACCCTTCATGGAGATACTGACTGTTCCCTGTGGGCAGGTGAATGTCGAGGATCTGCAGCTGGAAAAGGGAATGGGGCATGGACTGTGCCCTGAGCAGACAGAGTCACTGCGGCAGCATCTCTCATGTTCCTGTTTGGGATATCCCATTCTGGCCAAGTAGCTTGGCCTCTTCTGCATGCACCAGGAAACGCTACTAGCTGGGCACTGAGGAGTCCTGGGGTGGGGGAGAGGCCCTGGCCCTGGTGGTGGACTCGGGACAGGTCCCTGTCCCCTGAATATCAGCAGTGGTCACAGCTGGGTATTCCTTTTTGTTGTGTTGTTTGGGGTGGGAGGAGAGTCTGCCAGCCAATGGTGAACCACTCCTCCCTCTCTCAGAAAAGCAGTGAGAGTTTGGATTATGAAGATCTGGAGTGCCTCAAGCTGGGTCCATCAGAAGCCAAGGGAGAAGTCCCTCCAGAGGAGCAGCCCTCCCCCTCCAGGCCTTCCACCAGCAGACCCGGTGTGCAGTCAGGAGCAGCCGCGGTTCTCAGACATGTGTGGTTCAGGAGGACCAAGAATAGCCAAAAGGAAGAGAGCCTGGACAAGACAAGGATAAAGCCAAGCTCAGGCAAGAAGATAGGCAGCCAACGAGCTTTCCCTCGTTTCCACTCTTCCATACGCCTGGCGATGCAGGAAATCCAGCAGGTGAGCTGGGGCATATCCTCTGCCAAGCCTTGCCACCCGCAGCCACTCTGTGACACGTGAAGCTGCCCTACCCAGGGGCAGGAGAGAGGAGGTTTCCACAAGCAGCACTGTCTTCTGGGTCACAAGTTGTATTTGGTGGTCTTGGGATCAAGACTGTGTTCACTGGAAGTGCTGCGCTGGGGGAGACCCTGGGAGAGGCTTGCTGGGATGCCCAAAGAAAAGTCCACAACAGAAGAGGCTGTGATGTGGCCAGTGTCCCAGTCACTGCTCCCCTAATGCTGTCTTTCTGCTTCTTTCTGCAGTTATCTTCCACTACCTTGAACAATTCTGCACAGAGCTGCTGTGAAGCTCTCAGCATTAAGGATATAGAGCCCAAGTGACCCGGTAAGAGGAGACAGCACACAGGAGGGCAGACAGCAATTGCCGTTTCCCTGGGAAATGGAGAAGTAAAGGGGCTCTTCCCTTCCTGCTCCACCTGGAGCATCTCTTGGCCACCAACTACCTAGAAATAGAGCGGGAAAAACAGAGGGCAGTGACCAGCTTCCATTCTGGGACTGCAAAGAGACCAGGAAAAATGGGGAAAAATAAGCATAAGGTTGGGTTCCCAGCACGTGTGGTGCACAGTGTACTTGCAGTACAATAATGAGGCTGCTGGAGGGAGCTCACAGTTTGTTGGAGACCTGGGGCTGGAAGGACGAGTACTATCAGAAAGCATATCTGCACACTACAGTAGTCAGCTGCAGTGGCTTAATGTTGTGGAGAGGCACATATCAGAAGTGGGTGCTGGGCAGAGAGCCCTGAGGGGTAGCAGATGAAATGAGCCGAAAGCAAGGCTGAGAACCTAAGAAAAGGCAACAGTCTGTGAAGACTTTAAACAAGGTCTCAGCAGCTGGAAACACAGCTGGTTGCTGAGGCTGTAGTACACTGGATGCATTACAGGAGTATATGGAGTGGGCCAGGAAGGGCCATCTGGCAGAGTTGGCTATGCCCAATGCACTACTTTTCTGAAGCATCTAGTGGATGAGCAGCTTCCCTGTGCAGCCAGTGGGTAAATCCCCATTCTATTCAGTTGCTGAAGGCAGGAGGAAGCAATAGTGGTGCTGTTGTACACCTCTGGAAAAATCTGGATTTGTGTCAGCTGGGAGTGGAGAGGGATGAGAGGACCATGCTATTGGCTGCAGACCCACTGTGGGGATTGCAGCCTTGCACTGGGACTGCCGAGTTCCCTGCGTGGTTCCCTTCCCAGCAGTTCATGTTGGAGCAAAGCTGTTTAGCTGGGGCCTGTCTTGTCTTCCTCATAATGGCTGAGAAAATCCTCTCCCTGAAGTGTTTGCCTTGTTTGCTTCTTTCCTGTATGTGGGTATTGATGTATGCAGGGAATGCTCCTTGTGTCTGAGATTAAGCAGAAGAAAGACAAAGTGTGTGAGATCTGCATAGATGACTGCAAGTGTGTCGTATTGGGATTGCGGAATAGAGCCCTCTTTTTATGTCCTCTGCTGAGTTGTGTTTCTTGACTTTCTTGCAGGTCAAAGTGGCTCAGCCCTGTCCTCTTCCAGTGCTGCTGCGCCTTACCAAACTGGGTGAACATATCCAGACATACAGCAGCCTTTTTTCTGTTATTTTTCTATTTGGTTTTGCTGCACCCAGCTGGCGCTATGCCTTTAGACTGGACTGCTGCAGAAATGAACTTTCATCAGCACTCAATGGGTGCCAGTGGCTGAGACCACAGTATATGGACCAGTCTCATCCTGGCGGAGGGGAGAGGATGGGAACAGTCATACTCTGCACAGATACACAGTGCCTGACACTCTGCGTGTCAATACTTCAACATGCCTGGAGACCCCTCGCCTCGCACTGTTAATTGTCACAAACTGGTTATCTCCCAACAACCTGTTCTCTCACAGATACCCTTACTGGGTTCCTACCTCTTTCTCTTCAAGTCCTCTGTCTCTGTTTTGGTCCTGTGCATCCACTGCTCTGGGTGCCAAGGGAATCACAGAATTTTCAGAGTTGGAAGGGACCTCTAGAGATCATCTAGTCCAACTCCCCTGCTAAAGCAGGATTGCCTGGAGCACATTACTCAGGACTGCATCCAGGCGGGGTTTGAAAATCTCCAGAGAAGGGGACTCCACAACCCCCCTGGGCAGACTGTGCCACTGATCTGTCACACGAACTGTAAAGAAGTTTTTCCGTGTGTTGGAACAGAACTTCCTATGTTCTAACTTGTGCCCATTGCCCCTCGTCCTGTCACTGGGAACCACTGAGAAGAGTCTGGCTCCATCCTCCTTCAACCCACCCTTTAGATACTTGTAAGCAATAATAAGCCTTCTCTTCTCCAGGCTAAAGAGTCCCAGCTCTCTCAGCCTTTCCTCATAAGGGAGATGCTCCAATCCCTCAATCATCTTGGTTGCCCTTTGCTGGACTCACTCCAGCAGTTCCCTGTCCCTCTTGAACTGGGGAGCCCAGAACTGGACACAGTATTCCAGTTGTGGCCTCACCAGTGCCAAGTAGAGGGGGAGAATGACCTCCCTCGGCCTAATGGTTATGCTCTTCCCTATGCAGCCCAGGATTCCATTGGCCTTTTTGGCGATAAGGGCACATTGCTGCCTCATGGATAATTTGCTATCTACCAGGACCCCCAGACCCTTCTCCTCAGAACTACTTCCCAGCAGGTCCACCCCTAACCTATACTGGTGCTTAGCATTCTTCCTCCCCAGGTACAGGACCTTGCACTTGCTGGGCTTGGGCTTGGGAAGTAAGGAATAAAACTGGTGTATCCTTTCTGTTGAGCGCAGGAGCACTTGAACAGGAGCTGAGACAGGGGGCAAGAAGATCTTTCGGTAGAGGATATTTCCTGCCCTTGCATCAGTGTGCTGGCACGCTGCCCTCCAGTCCTTAGCCGGAGCTCAAGTCAGGGAATCATTGGCGAAACAGTCTTGTTCATCCTGGTTGGAATCATTACAAGTCTGGGCTGAACAACGTCCTGCTTTACACTGAGGGTAGAGGGCTTGCAACAGACAGGACCATGCTACTTGTTATGTATATTCTATTTTAAAATAAATCTCTTTTCTTTTTATAAAGAGAAGCTCAGTGTTTTCGTTGTTTCTGTTACCTGCAGTCAGTTCAGCCACGGACTGCAAATGGAGGAGAACGGCTAACACCTCTGAGGGTAGACACAGGATCGTGTTAAGTGTCTCAGTGGAGAAGCTGAAGGCTTATGGGCCAGTAATCCTGGTGTACAACTGCCACCTGTAATAGTGCTCTCCTCCCATACCAACCTTATCTCCTGTGTATGCCACGGGCAAGACCTCCCCTTTGCAGCCTCAGTGGGAGCCCTCTCCCTCTGGCAGATCACTCTGCACTGGAGGACAGCCACACTGCCCACCCTGCTTCACTCCTCCCTAGGAGACACGAGTGCAGCCGAGTCCAGGTTGCATAGGCTGTGGCCAAAGCAGCTTATTTTTGTGATACAGGATCCTTGTGACACTGTCTTAGCGCTGCCTTCAACCATGGGACTATTTCTCTTCCCTGTGATCTCTGGAGCAGGAGAGTTGAGCTGCGCCGGGTCACAAAGCAGCACTGCTGGGAACCAGACAGGGAAGCCGTGGTTGTTTCAGCCTGACGTCCTGGCTCTCCCTAGCATTGCCTTGCAGCATTAACACACCTTTTCTCTTCCTCGTGCAGGGTTTTGGCAGCTGCTTTGAGGCTGTTCAGGACAGAACCAGTCCAGGCAGTCAAAGGCTGCTGTTTGCAGAGTCTTCCTGGCTAAGCCCAGGGGCGTTTTGCTGGGCAGCCTTGGCCCCTGTGCTAATGTTCTCCTTGGCTTCCTCCACCACTGGGCAGCTGGAAAGCCTGCCTTCTGGGTAGCACGTAGAACCACCTCATGGCCAAAACATTTCTAAGAACTCACTAATGCACAGAACTGAGACACATAGGAGAAATGCATTTCAGTAACAGAGCTGCTCTGTAACTCTTTCCTAGTTCCTGTGACACAGAGCACGGTGTAAGCCCAGGGCTAACATCTAGCTGCAAAAAATAGTTTGCTCCTCTGGCCTGGCAGGGTTAATGCTGAACCCAGGAGGGTGGTGAAGATCTTTCCCCCAAGCAGCTGCCTCCAGTATGCCCTGGGTGCTGCTGCAGGCACAGCTCACAAGTGATGCTGGTGGGGGGAAACAACACCAGGGGAGTGTCAGGATGTTTCTCTGGTGGGTGTGCATGGCACATCTCCTGACAAGCTTCACAAAAACAGAGCACATTGATCACAGATTTCTTTTGCCCCTGATTTAGTGGGTGGGAAGTCAAATCGCGATCTGGGCAGCCAGGAGCCTGGCACAAACCTGGGCAGCGTGCCTGGGCTGGCAGGTCAGGTTTCTTCCATGTCTGCCTCTTCTGCTTGTTCTGTGACATGGCAAGAAGAAATCAGGGGAAGAGAAGGGTGAGCAGCTGCCAGGTTGAGGAGGTTATGCAGCACTGGAGGTATTGGCATGATTTCTGCAAGGCTCCAGTTTGCAGGGGCGTTAGCAAATACTCTATGCTCTGTACATGCACAAGGTCTAGCCTGGCTTCTGGAGAGCAGTCTGGCTGTGCTGGGCTGTTGTGGGACGAAATGTGTGCCAGCAGTGGGGAAAAGCTGGGAGAAGAGCTAGGAATACAATACGCTGCTAAAGAGCAGATTTGACATCTCCATCATGGTCTTTGCCTGCGTGCTTCCATCACATGGCCAAAGTCAAGCTTCAGCTCTGTGTGAGAGCACAAGTTATGCTAAGGATTTCTTTCATCTTCTCCCTGAAGATGATCTCCGCTGAAGAGGAGCAGCTGCACGAGCAGCCCTATCTCATTTCCTTCGGCAGCAGCTTTCCTTGCGGCACTCAGAAAGTTACACCTTAGAAAAAGCAAAGAGCAAACTGCATGAGCCTAAGTGGGAAGGCTGTTCATGTTATATCATGTTATAGTTCAGCTAGTGTGTGATGAACTGAACGGGATGTACTCCCATAAAAGGCAAATAATAGGGTGTATCAGGCTGTGTGAGCAGGGGCAGCACCCAGAAGAGGGCCTGGCAGCCCACAGATCCCCTGAGCACTGGATTTCGTGCCCCATGGGACTTCAGCTGAGCTCAGAGGGGAAGGCTGGGAAGAAAACCCGGGCCACAGGGAGCTGGGCAGAGCTGGCACCCAGGAAGCTAAGAAGAGCAGCGAGAAGGATCTGCAGTCCACAGGAGCAAGAACTGGAAGTGCAAGAGGGACCTCTGGGCTTGGTGGTTTGGAAGGAATTTTATTTCATAACCTGTTCCTTCCTAGTCATCCCACACACAGTCCATCGCTGCAACTGGTGCTTCAGTGCATCCTCTAGAGAGCTTCCCTAACCTGCCTCCTTCTTTTCG